TCAAGGAATTTGAAAAGCAAGCTGTTGAATTTCTCGTTATGATGTTCGACTTCTCCAGAGAAACTAGTCCAATTGTCCTCAAAATCAACTCTATGAAGCTCAGAACTCTGAAAATAAACAGCGTTGTTACTCACAGAGATTTGGTTTTTGTGACACACAAAAAGTAAAGAACTTTCTAAGGAAGAAAGAAGCCACAGGAAGAATAATTGTGATTCCAGAAATACCTCGCTTGCGTCAAAAGATTCTGTGAGTTCTAACTCAGCCTCCACAAAGTAATTCCGAACGTGCTGATAGCAGCGTGTGTGAATAAAGTTGCAATTTTAGAATAAATGAATGCGTCAGTGAAGACAAAGAGCAAAATTAAACAATAAAAATTCATTTTACCAAGATGAATTTGCAGAAGTCCATGATGCAGTCCAGCAGTTCTCGCAGGGGTTGCAGCAGTTCCAAAACGGTCAGCATGCACTCTCGCTGGCACTGGTCAATGAAATCCGTGTGATACGTCAGCACGTCATCCACACTGTTGACTCTCTTCATTTTCTCCATGAAAATGTGCCAGTTGGGTTCGATTACTTCGCCAGTCATGTAATACTGCAGGCCGAGGACAAAGTTGAGCATCCTTTGACGAAGAGAGAATGCAGGTCTGTAGAGAGGAGATTCCATGGGGGAGAATCGACGGGCCACTTTGTTCGAGTTCCAGACCCTGCAATTTTCAATTTTATGTTAACTTTTATTTTCAAATTAATGTATTGATTTTTACTGGCAAAGAGATCTCTCCACATATTTGATGAAGAAAAGGTGCCTGAAAATCATTTGGTATCGAGAGTGGTCATGGCTGTTGATTACTAAAGACACGGGCCACTTCACATCAGCTGAAAAGGCAAAGCTTTCATATCCACTCAACTCCTTGTCCTCCAAATCGTAGCTGTCAATATCCTCCAGTGGAAAAGTGTCTAAAATTGAAATATAATTTAATAAATGAATAAAGTAATCAATACTTAACAACCATTAGATATGCAAATAATTCTTCGAATTTGATCAGGCAAGGAGCTAGTGATCAACGTTGTGTGCAAATCCTCCAAATACGCAGTTTCAACATTGGATGTGCGAAGAACAAGGCCGAACAAGAAATCCAATCGAGTCGGTTCCAGTTCCATGACAGGTTTGCGCAGAGTTTCGTCGCACAGGTCCATGCATTGCGAAATGAAATCTACTTGCTCCAGAAGGAAGAACTTTTTCATCCACCTTGAAATAAAAATTTTAAATAATCAGACAAAATAAAAAAATAAAATACTTACATCAGTCTGCCGATCAAATCGTAATCCCGGAGAAGGATTTCCAAGTGCATTTTGCTCGCGTACTGATACGCTTCTTCGATCACTTCCTCACACTTGCTGCCATGAATGGTGTACACTGTGCGTGATTTTAGGGGGGAGTGGATTCGTTTTCCTGATAAAAGAAGAGGATCAAAATAGATACTTTGACAAAAGTGAGAGAAAAATGTACCACACTGCTGCATAACGTTCAAGTATTTTCCGGTTCTCAGAATTTTCTCGGCGTATTCCGAAATGAACAATGGCACTCGGTCTTTACGAATTGTGTATCTCTTCTCCCAGTAGCCATCACAGTCTTCTGTGCTCAAAGCACCATCAGTCTCTACCTGATTGTCCTCAACCATGAACTGCCAAAATTTCACATTTTTAGTTTTTTATTTTAAACTAATTTATTTCTTTTTTGCCTAAATAATGATTAAAATTTACCTCGTCAAATGGATCGTTGATAACCCCTTTTAGCAGCCACTCGTCCAGACTCTCCAAGTAAGGTTTGCTAGCTTTTTGTATGAGATTGAAACAAATTTCTTGGGCGTTTTTATCACCAGCAGTGCAGAGGGTAAGCTGGTGAAGCAGAGTCAATACTCGGCCTCCTCGAGCATCATTCTAAATAACTATCATCATGAAAAGAAAAAATAGAATAATGCCACCACTTACATTGTTCACAGTTTGGGCTGTGTGAGCCAATACTCTGAAGAGCTGCGACATGGATTCAGAGTTGAAAACCAGCTTTTGCAGACCAAGATTGCCAGAGCGGCGCTGATTTTCATTTTGAGCCACGAACCCCTTAAAGTATTAATCAATTATTAGTTTTGAAATTTGTTTGTGAATATGTAAAAACATAATACTAGCAGAAATGAAAGAATACCAAATATTCAATGATATGTTCGTCCATTGCAGCAGCCAAGGCGTTGTTGACTCTGCCAAAACGAAACTCAGTTTTTTGCTCAATGAATCGAACCACTGACGAGTATAAACTTGCTAACTCCAGTACTTTCAGGGCAAGCTCTTTCAGAGATTTATCTGGATATAAATAAATTTGTGAGATTTTTAATAAAATTGCCTGACCAAATTGGCCATACCCATTCCAACAGCAAATCTGAATTCACGTTTTGCATAGAGATTTTCTAGCGGCATCGCGACGATGTGTTGGCCATCAATTCCAGAGAGGCAATTTATCAAGTCAGACAGAATGGCTTGTTCCTGAGAGGCTACTGGTACTTTTGCTAGAAAGTCAAGTTTAAAATTGCTCAGTTCCATTATTGAAAACCTTGTAAAATCCACCTAGAGTTATTGGTGTGCCTCCCTTTTCCGAGCCGCAAGCAAAATCATTTGTCATGTATGGGCGAGTTTGAAACCAGTCGGGAAATGATGGCAGCTCGACCGTGATCCCATTCGATCTCTTCAGGGTTCCGTGACTTTCAATGGAGTGTTTGTTGTCATGGGAAGGTCGCTCAAACTCCTCAGTAATGGCTTTGAGTTTATTTTTAACCTTAAAAAAGTTAAAGTTATTATATTAAGCTTGATAACAAATTGTCAAAAAAAAAAAAAATAATACTTGGGAGAGTCCTTCGGAGGACACATTGATGACTTGTTTGCCGTTACCGTTCAAAGCTGCTTCTTCTTGTTGACAGAGTTTCAGCATTTTCTTGACTCGTTTGTCATCAGCTACACAAGAAAGAAGCTCTACATAGGGCCCCAAAATGTCACAGCTGCGAAACATACAAATATAATTTACGATTAAACTATAGAAACAATTAAATATAGAACCTACTTCTTTTCTTTGATCTCTAGGTACTTCTGTGAGAAAGCTTTCTGGTCTGAGCACTGCTCTCTCAGCTTGTTCAAGTGGTCCTGCTTGGCTGAACTTGACGCGAGTATTCGGTTACTGAGTTCAATGGCTTTGTTCAGCGCGTCTTCGCTTACTTGATCTGAGATTCTGGGAAATAAAATAAAATTACAAACATTCGTGACTGTAAGAAGAAATTGGATAACATTGCATCCTTCGTGTCTTTTTGTGTGCGTGTTTATAACAAAAATACAAACCCGAGAGATAACGCCAGTTCAGCAGAGAGCTGCAGATTCTTGAATTCAGCCATTCTCCAATCACTAAATCACACTTAATTAAGTCAGTCTGTGTAAGTGACTAAATTTTTCTTTTCTCTTTTTGGTCGACAATTGCTAAAAGTAAAATAAAGTTCACAGGGTGTGCCTAAAAATGCTTGAGACAGTTGAGACTCAAGATAGATTATGGCTGTGTTTGTAATCTCGCAACTGCGACAATTGTTCGAACGGAAAAACATGTGTTCATAAACTAGCAATTCTTGCCGTCACGGCGCTGCGGAAGGGACCAAACTTCCAGCAACCACCTAGCATCAAGACCTTGGTCGTATTCGTAAATCTCGCAACAGCCAAACACTTCCACCAAGAGATGTTTTTGTGACGTCACAAAAACAGGCTGCTACATTTCGAACAGAAAGATGGTTTTTGGCTGTAGTACGCCATTTCAACCACCAGTTGGCGCCAACGACATAGGCCTTGCCAGAAAACAAGGAAAGCAGCGCAGCAGTCTCACAATCAGTATACCTGATAGAATGCCGCAGACTGAACTTTAAATTTCAAAAGCTCACTTACCCCTTTATTATAAAATGTTGCCCATCCAGAAGAAGTTTCGTTACGTATGTTTCTTTTCTAATAAAAATGAATTTCAGTGGGACGAGTGTGTAGAATTTGAGTGAATAATTTAAATTGATATTATGAAGAGTGCGCAAGAGTAAAACGTGATCCTTTTACAAAGTAAAATGCAGCAGATTTGTTTTTAAAATTCAATTTCACGCTTTTACCCCTTTATAGATATAAATCAATGAATCAAACAGAACTTTGATTATTACCTATTTTTCTTTCAGAAAATATAATTTGTAGAATAACGAAGCCACCTATGGAAGGCTGATAGACATTATTAAACTGTCATTGAAGTAAAATGAGATTGCGCTTTTAAGTCAAATAATGCGTTCCATGAATTATCCAGTCAAACCCATCTTGCAATAAAAGAGCTGCCCGTCCAAAAATAGCTTATTCTTGCATATTTATCATTTTATAAAAAAATGCGATTTTTTTAGAAGGAAAAGTGCCAATGAATTCATGGGCTCCACATGCCGCATCTGGGTTTATAGATCTGTGTTCGCGAACTTCTCGCGAGTTAAAAGACACCTCTTTAACTTAAACATTATATTTAATATATATACAACAAACTTAAAAATGAATCCAAGCGTATTCCTTAAAATAAAAATAATGCTCCTCTCAAAGATTTTTACTGCCTATTTGTAGAGTGACATAAAATCTGTCATACAACCCATCAATACCTTATATTTATTTTCATTATATATACTTTAACATTTCTCATCGCGCCAAACTAATCTTCACTGCGACATCTACCAGTAAATAAAGCAATACATTTCAACTCCATCTCCCTCAACCCGTAAAGGCCCTCACCATGCCTCACACCCTTGCCAAAAGGGGTCGTTTTTTATGAAAATTAAGTCAGCTTTTATCATGTAATCAGATTAATAAATTAATTTCTGAATTTTTGGCAATATCCAAATGTCGAAAAATTCGGCCGTCGTTCGGCAATCGGCGTCTAAAGTTGGGGGCGGGTCGCAATGTCTGCGAGTCCACACGCCCACTTTTGCTGCGACGGCGAAATTATGCAAGAATAAGCTATTTTTGGACGGGCAGCTCTTTTATTGCAAGATGGGTTTGACTGGATAATTCATGGAACGCATTATTTGACTTAAAAGCGCAATCTCATTTTACTTCAATGACAGTTTAATAATGTCTATCAGCCTTCCATAGGTGGCTTCGTTATTCTACAAATTATATTTTCTGAAAGAAAAATAGGTAATAATCAAAGTTCTGTTTGATTCATTGATTTATATCTATAAAGGGGTAAAAGCGTGAAATTGAATTTTAAAAACAAATCTGCTGCATTTTACTTTGTAAAAGGATCACGTTTTACTCTTGCGCACTCTTCATAATATCAATTTAAATTATTCACTCAAATTCTACACACTCGTCCCACTGAAATTCATTTTTATTAGAAAAGAAACATACGTAACGAAACTTCTTCTGGATGGGCAACATTTTATAATAAAGGGGTAAGTGAGCTTTTGAAATTTAAAGTTCAGTCTGCGGCATTCTATCAGGTATACTGATTGTGAGACTGCTGCGCTGCTTTCCTTGTTTTCTGGCAAGGCCTATGTCGTTGGCGCCAACTGGTGGTTGAAATGGCGTACTACAGCCAAAAACCATCTTTCTGTTCGAAATGTAGCAGCCAACAAGAACAAGGGGGAACACCTGGCGGCGAGACCGATAAAGCTCTAGCTGGGCCAGATAGAGGGCCAAGATCTTGATTGGTGGCCACGGTCACGTGACTTATAGCTCTCTTTCCTCGCGGCTCACATATGAATTATCAAAACAAAGAAATAGAGCACACCGCACACCGCATGTTTTTCGGCTTTGAAAATTAAAGGAAAGCGATGCACTTGATGCGCCAAGAAGGTAAAATTTATTACATTATAATAAATCGTGTAGAAATTTTAACCTTAACTATTTATTGCAGAATTAAATTGGTGTCTGATTGCGCAGTTATGGGATGTGATTTCAATCGCCATAATAAAAATTATTACAAACCTGGAATTCAGAGACATTATTTTCCAAAAAAACAAGCTGCTGTAAGTTGTTTGTTTTAAAAAATTATTTTTGGTGAAATAATTTTTGTTAATAATTTTTTTATCTCATTTCCAGCTGCTTAAAATGGATGGCATTCTGTCAGAATCCATTCATCAAGGACAAAACACCAGAAGAATTGTCAGCGAAACAATCTTACTTCATCTGCAGCCAACATTTTGACGCCCTCGATTATTATGTTAAAAAATCAGATATCGTTGAGAATCCTGCTCCAAGACTGCATAGATCAAGGGCCATCCCCAAAACCTCAGGACCAAGTGTTGTTGATGTCGACGGTTCAATTATTAGTCCAATCAAACCACCTGCTAATGAGTATGCAGCTCGCATGATTGGATTGAAACCCTCGGCCCAAGTCGAAAGTGACGAAGAGGAGGACGACTGGCAGTACAGAGACGCCCAAGAAAGCTTCAACGAGATTGAGGCTGCATTCAGAGAAAATGAGGAGGAAGGAGGTGTGATTTTAATTTTAATAATTTTTTGAAATACAAAAAATTGAACTATATTATTTTTTCAGAGCAATTTTTCCCGAAGCCCTTGCCGAAACCAGCTCCAAAACCGAATAAGGTGCTAAAAATTCAGAATGGACTATTCGAGGACATGGGAGGAAGATTTGAGGGCAAAAAGGTCCCAGAATACAAAAAATTACCCGAGGACGTCAAAAGGTTAAGGAGCAAGGTTCACAATCTACAGCGTATCAACAACAGGTTGAAGAAAGCTGCCGAAAAAAGGAAACCAACCAGGAAGCAGCAAAGAGTTGATGCTATTGAGTATCTAAAAACTATTTTAAACCCAGTCCAATTTGAACAAGTCTTTTGTCTAATCACTAACTCTTCCAGAAGTAGACGAGGGCGGAGATACACCCTGCAGATGAAAATTATTTGCCTTGGACTGTACCTCTTTGACCTCTTTGGTAAAAATAATGTGAAAAATAAAAATATTTATTAACTGTCTTTCAGCCCCCAGACCCGTCCTCGATCAAGTACAGTCAGTGGCAGCAGCACCCCAAGCCCAAACAACACTGGCCCAAACAGCCCCTCGACTAGTCGGATCGTATTTGTTTACCCAGGCAGCCGCCCTCGAACACAATCCTTCTCTACCCCACCGAGCAGCTCATCACCTCTGAGCCGTCCTACAATTCGACCCTCGGCCACACCAAGCCTGCAGCCACTAGTCACCATTCGTCCTCGCACCACATCAGTTGGATCTAGTCCTCTCCTGATTCAAACTGTAGACGACCAGCAACGAGTGATCCGTGTCGTACATCGGTCTGGACAACCCCAACAAGAAAATCTTCCAGTTATGAAGAAGTGAGCAGACTAAAAGTTGAACAATAAAATATATGTAATATATAGTATGGTGATTAAATATTATATTATTTTTATATTACATAATTATACATTAATTATATTATAATTATATAATGAAATTATTTACTGATATTTATTAATTATTAAAAGAAATCAATATATCGCAATATATTGTATAAATTTTGCACAACTTTAAAATTATGTCCAACTGTTGTTATAATTTTTTTAAGAGAGTTTATAAACTGCAAGAAAAGAAAAGAAAATTTTTTGTTGCTTTATTACTAAAATAAAAGAATCTTTTTAAATTCATTCATTTAATTCAACACTGAAAGACTTAATTAATATTAAATCAAAAATTTTAATGATATGAAATAGTTAAAAAAGGAAATTAAATTTATAAATTAATTTATTCTTAAATTGGCAATTGATCAAACTTCGGCAAATATCAATACTTTTTCTGTACTTCAGAGCTGCTTCAGAGTTTTCTTTTGCTTGCTGCTGGCGAGATTTGCGCGCCGCCGACAGCAGCGGTAGAAGTGGGAGAAGTGCTGGGCGGAGCCTAGCGCTGCAGCCGCTACCGCCGGAAAGCTGCTTGTTATGCCTTGTTCTTGTTGGTAGCAGCCTGTTTTTGTGACGTCACAAAAACATCTCTTGGTGGAAGTGTTTGGCTGTTGCGAGATTTACGAATACGACCAAGGTCTTGATGCTAGGTGGTTGCTGGAAGTTTGGTCCCTTCCGCAGCGCCGTGACGGCAAGAATTGCTAGTTTATGAACACATGTTTTTCCGTTCGAACAATTGTCGCAGTTGCGAGATTACAAACACAGCCATAATCTATCTTGAGTCTCAACTGTCTCAAGCATTTTTAGGCACACCCTGTGAACTTTATTTTACTTTTAGCAATTGTCGACCAAAAAGAGAAAAGAAAAATTTAGTCACTTACACAGACTGACTTAATTAAGTGTGATTTAGTGATTGGAGAATGGCTGAATTCAAGAATCTGCAGCTCTCTGCTGAACTGGCGTTATCTCTCGGGTTTGTATTTTTGTTATAAACACGCACACAAAAAGACACGAAGGATGCAATGTTATCCAATTTCTTCTTACAGTCACGAATGTTTGTAATTTTATTTTATTTCCCAGAATCTCAGATCAAGTAAGCGAAGACGCGCTGAACAAAGCCATTGAACTCAGTAACCGAATACTCGCGTCAAGTTCAGCCAAGCAGGACCACTTGAACAAGCTGAGAGAGCAGTGCTCAGACCAGAAAGCTTTCTCACAGAAGTACCTAGAGATCAAAGAAAAGAAGTAGGTTCTATATTTAATTGTTTCTATAGTTTAATCGTAAATTATATTTGTATGTTTCGCAGCTGTGACATTTTGGGGCCCTATGTAGAGCTTCTTTCTTGTGTAGCTGATGACAAACGAGTCAAGAAAATGCTGAAACTCTGTCAACAAGAAGAAGCAGCTTTGAACGGTAACGGCAAACAAGTCATCAATGTGTCCTCTGAAGGACTCTCCCAAGTATTATTTTTTTTTTTTTGACAATTTGTTATCAAGCTTAATATAATAACTTTAACTTTTTTAAGGTTAAAAATAAACTCAAAGCCATTACTGAGGAGTTTGAGCGACCTTCCCATGACAACAAACACTCCATTGAAAGTCACGGAACCCTGAAGAGATCGAATGGGATCACGGTCGAGCTGCCATCATTTCCCGACTGGTTTCAAACTCGCCCATACATGACAAATGATTTTGCTTGCGGCTCGGAAAAGGGAGGCACACCAATAACTCTAGGTGGATTTTACAAGGTTTTCAATAATGGAACTGAGCAATTTTAAACTTGACTTTCTAGCAAAAGTACCAGTAGCCTCTCAGGAACAAGCCATTCTGTCTGACTTGATAAATTGCCTCTCTGGAATTGATGGCCAACACATCGTCGCGATGCCGCTAGAAAATCTCTATGCAAAACGTGAATTCAGATTTGCTGTTGGAATGGGTATGGCCAATTTGGTCAGGCAATTTTATTAAAAATCTCACAAATTTATTTATATCCAGATAAATCTCTGAAAGAGCTTGCCCTGAAAGTACTGGAGTTAGCAAGTTTATACTCGTCAGTGGTTCGATTCATTGAGCAAAAAACTGAGTTTCGTTTTGGCAGAGTCAACAACGCCTTGGCTGCTGCAATGGACGAACATATCATTGAATATTTGGTATTCTTTCATTTCTGCTAGTATTATGTTTTTACATATTCACAAACAAATTTCAAAACTAATAATTGATTAATACTTTAAGGGGTTCGTGGCTCAAAATGAAAATCAGCGCCGCTCTGGCAATCTTGGTCTGCAAAAGCTGGTTTTCAACTCTGAATCCATGTCGCAGCTCTTCAGAGTATTGGCTCACACAGCCCAAACTGTGAACAATGTAAGTGGTGGCATTATTCTATTTTTTCTTTTCATGATGATAGTTATTTAGAATGATGCTCGAGGAGGCCGAGTATTGACTCTGCTTCACCAGCTTACCCTCTGCACTGCTGGTGATAAAAACGCCCAAGAAATTTGTTTCAATCTCATACAAAAAGCTAGCAAACCTTACTTGGAGAGTCTGGACGAGTGGCTGCTAAAAGGGGTTATCAACGATCCATTTGACGAGGTAAATTTTAATCATTATTTAGGCAAAAAAGAAATAAATTAGTTTAAAATAAAAAACTAAAAATGTGAAATTTTGGCAGTTCATGGTTGAGGACAATCAGGTAGAGACTGATGGTGCTTTGAGCACAGAAGACTGTGATGGCTACTGGGAGAAGAGATACACAATTCGTAAAGACCGAGTGCCATTGTTCATTTCGGAATACGCCGAGAAAATTCTGAGAACCGGAAAATACTTGAACGTTATGCAGCAGTGTGGTACATTTTTCTCTCACTTTTGTCAAAGTATCTATTTTGATCCTCTTCTTTTATCAGGAAAACGAATCCACTCCCCCCTAAAATCACGCACAGTGTACACCATTCATGGCAGCAAGTGTGAGGAAGTGATCGAAGAAGCGTATCAGTACGCGAGCAAAATGCACTTGGAAATCCTTCTCCGGGATTACGATTTGATCGGCAGACTGAAGTAAGTATTTTATTTTTTTATTTTGTCTGATTATTTAAAATTTTTATTTCAAGGTGGATGAAAAAGTTCTTCCTTCTGGAGCAAGTAGATTTCATTTCGCAATGCATGGACCTGTGCGACGAAACTCTGCGCAAACCTGTCATGGAACTGGAACCGACTCGATTGGATTTCTTGTTCGGCCTTGTTCTTCGCACATCCAATGTTGAAACTGCGTATTTGGAGGATTTGCACACAACGTTGATCACTAGCTCCTTGCCTGATCAAATTCGAAGAATTATTTGCATATCTAATGGTTGTTAAGTATTGATTACTTTATTCATTTATTAAATTATATTTCAATTTTAGACACTTTTCCACTGGAGGATATTGACAGCTACGATTTGGAGGACAAGGAGTTGAGTGGATATGAAAGCTTTGCCTTTTCAGCTGATGTGAAGTGGCCCGTGTCTTTAGTAATCAACAGCCATGACCACTCTCGATACCAAATGATTTTCAGGCACCTTTTCTTCATCAAATATGTGGAGAGATCTCTTTGCCAGTAAAAATCAATACATTAATTTGAAAATAAAAGTTAACATAAAATTGAAAATTGCAGGGTCTGGAACTCGAACAAAGTGGCCCGTCGATTCTCCCCCATGGAATCTCCTCTCTACAGACCTGCATTCTCTCTTCGTCAAAGGATGCTCAACTTTGTCCTCGGCCTGCAGTATTACATGACTGGCGAAGTAATCGAACCCAACTGGCACATTTTCATGGAGAAAATGAAGAGAGTCAACAGTGTGGATGACGTGCTGACGTATCACACGGATTTCATTGACCAGTGCCAGCGAGAGTGCATGCTGACCGTTTTGGAACTGCTGCAACCCCTGCGAGAACTGCTGGACTGCATCATGGACTTCTGCAAATTCATCTTGGTAAAATGAATTTTTATTGTTTAATTTTGCTCTTTGTCTTCACTGACGCATTCATTTATTCTAAAATTGCAACTTTATTCACACACGCTGCTATCAGCACGTTCGGAATTACTTTGTGGAGGCTGAGTTAGAACTCACAGAATCTTTTGACGCAAGCGAGGTATTTCTGGAATCACAATTATTCTTCCTGTGGCTTCTTTCTTCCTTAGAAAGTTCTTTACTTTTTGTGTGTCACAAAAACCAAATCTCTGTGAGTAACAACGCTGTTTATTTTCAGAGTTCTGAGCTTCATAGAGTTGATTTTGAGGACAATTGGACTAGTTTCTCTGGAGAAGTCGAACATCATAACGAGAAATTCAACAGCTTGCTTTTCAAATTCCTTGACCTTGTAGGTTCTCTTGAGAGAGATACAACGCATGCTAGACTCCTCTTGAGGTACAGTACTATCTTGGATTTAAAATAGCATCCCACTGTTTTTCTGACTAGATGCGTTGAAAATTTCAGAATGGATTTTAACTCTTTCTACAGCACCCAGAGGAAAGGCTCCCTGAGTCTTAATAAGTCTTCTACAAGTTCCACGACTGGTTAAAAATATATGAAATAATATGATGTGCTGTGTTTGATAAAACTATTCCTTACATAAATATTTTATTCAATTTAATGTACCATCGCCCTATAAAATTATGTAATTATGAAGTTAAACAAATTTAAGAAAAAAAAAGTGTTGATCAATCTAAATATTGTTTGAAATATATATAACTAAATCTTTACTAAAATTTTATATTGAATGAATATTGTTAATTACATAAATCACACACCAATTTCTATACTTTTTAACCCCAAATATCATCAGTGACTAAAATTGTTGAAGTATAAATGAAGGGGCGTAAAAAGCGATAAAAAGTTTTACTGTGCATAAAGAGTTCTTTTGAAATTAGAAGTGGGTTAAAAACACCGATAATCGGTGCGAAAATGGCGAAAATATGTTAAAAACACCGGGACTCGGTGTGACAAATATTCCCCGATATGTTATTTGCACCGGGAACCGGTTTCAGTTAAAAACCGGCCGCTTTTGCGGCTGTAGCTCACCGATAACCGGCGCGTTGCCGCCAAAACAACACGATCAGCAGCTGACGCTGTCGATTCGCGAATGAGTCCGCAAAAAATGCCGTTTTACGAGTAAACTAGGGACGGAGACACCCCGCGGGAGTGAGCAATCGTAAGTTAAGAACCGTCCTTTCCGAGCCACCATGATCATCGGCGCGCTCCATGGACTGCTTGCTGGTTCGATGATATTTTGGCGGAGCATGTCGTCGATGGCTGCTTGCATGATGGGCCGCATGGACACGGGGACGCGATATGGACGGACTTTGACTGGCTCGGCGCTGCCGGTGTCGATTTTGTGTTTTGCTAAGTGTGTGCAACTGAGTGGTTGGTCACCGAATGCGAAAACGTCAGCATATTTCAGGATGAGGTCCTGCAGTGGTTTGAGGTGTTCCTCTGCAACGCCAGAAAAATTGAATTGGCTGAGGCGCTCCTCATCTGTGAGTGGCTGGCTGACAGGGTTGGGCAGAAAAGTGGGCTCGAACTGATCTTCGTTGACAAAGTTTGTCATTGGAGTGGGTGCTGTTTTGGAGTCCAACAGGTCCCATGTTTTGTCGAGTCTGAACAGCGAGACGCTTTCGAGTTTTCCTGCTTTTAGGAGATAGTCATTACTGTCTGGGTTTGTGAGCAAAAAATTTACTTCACCATTTTCGCCTATTTTTGTCACCATTGGCAGTGCTGGGCAGTTTTCTCCAGGTTGATTTGTCTGCAAATAAACTTCTGTTCCAGCAGGGAGGCTGGTGACGCCGGTGACTGTGGTGCAGCTGGTTTCGGAAATTTTTGTGTCTTGTTGTAAAATAATGCTGTGGATTTCAGGCTGAATTGGTTCAAGTGGTGGGGTGGTGATGGAATTTATTCGTACTTCGAACTGTCCGGAGTTGATGTCCAGAGGGACGGCGGCCCACGGGAAGTGGAGGGTGTGGTTTTTGTGGTCATTGATTGCTTGGTGTTGGTGTAGGAAATCGAGGCCTAGCAACCCTTGGTAACCAACTTGCTCGACATCGACCACTACACAGGAGTGTGTAATTGTTTTGCCTGAAATTTCAAAATTGAATTCTGTGCTTCCTTTGACGTTTAGACCCATGCCATTTGCACAACCAAATTTTATTTGACACGGATCTATTTTCAGGTCCAGCCTTTTGGCCAGGTCGTACCTCAAGAGTGTGATGGCGCTGCCACTGTCAACCATGAATGGCACTTTGAAGTTTTCTTTTGTGACCCAGAGGATTCGACCGGGGCGAGGCTGGACGGCGTGGACGTTAAGGAAGAGTTTGAGAGCGGCGTCAGCACCGCTCAGCACTGGCCGTTTTTTGGCTGGTTTTGGGCACCTGTGGCGCCCGTTGTGCAGTCCTTGGACACGTGCCCCCTTACGCCGCATTTTTGGCAGGCAATCAGAGGACAGCGAGAGATGGAGTGTCCGTACTGCTCGCAGAAAGTGCATTGTTTCTTTGGGCAAGTTCTGGTCCAATGCCCAGTTTCTTTGCAGATGTAACATTTTGTTTTGCTTTGCAGGTTTCCATTTTGAAATTGGCTCTGTTGTTGTTGCTGCTGCTGGTAGCCACCTCTGTTCTGCTGACCTGCAAAGTGGACGCCGGGTTGTCCACCCTGCTGGCAATGAGGCGCTGGTGGGCAGCAAGGAGGCTGTGGAGCGCCTCCTCCGCAGTGCCAACCTGACGGCTGCTGTGGAAGAGACTGGAAGTACTGCTGCTGTTGCTGAGGCACCTGGAGGGGCGCCGGAGCCACCTGCGGCTGCAAAACTGGTTGCAGTGGCGACTGCTGAGGAGTGGGGAAGGGCGGTTGTTGTGTTGGAGGAGCTCTTTGAGAGAGAGTGAGTTCCTTGATGGCTGCTATGAGGGCGCTGTTCCTGTTTCCCTCGATTTTAGCCAAGTCATTTTCTTCCTCGGCAGCCACGTCTCTCATTTCAGTCAATGTGTCTGCCTTGGTGTACTTGATGGCTTGCCTTAGTTCAGGTCTCAACCCTTTCTTGAACTGGTTCTTGAGCTTCGCATCCCGTAAGCCTGCAAGGTACTCGTTGGTTTCGATTGGGTGCCGAGGCCTCTTGGCCATCATTCGGTCGCCTGCTCGCAGTATTTGTCTGTAGAAGGTTTCGACTGATTCCCCTTCTTTTTGTTTCAGCTGCTGGAAAGCGTCCTTCAAGTCCTGATACTTGATCGTGGCTTCGAACTCGTTGGCCAAGAGCTTGCGGAAAGCCTCGAGAGTAAGGTCCTTGGGATCCAGGGTGGAGACAAATTGGAATGCGTCGCCATATGTGTTGGACATGGCATGGCGCACCAGTTCAGCTTCGGGTATTGCAGGATTTTGAATTTTCATCCGTAGGACGCTGTCTATGAAGTTCTTCAAGGACACGCCGCCATCCGCACCAAATTGCAGAATTTTGAGGCTCGCCAGCTGTGTAGGGTACCAGGGCTGCATTCCTGGGTAGGCGCCAGTGTCGAGCATTGTCTGGGTTTCCGTGGTGGATGACGTGCCTTGTGTTTCTTCGGTTACAGCAACCATGCTGAATGGGTCAAACTCCATCAGGTTGGCTGTGTTCATGATGCCTCGTGAGTACATTTTTATACAGTTTAATAGAGAAAAAAAAATTCCTAAAGTGTGTGTGTGTACAAAATTTATACAAAATTTGAAATGTGCAATTCCCTCAAAATAGTTAAAAAGCCACAACAATAAAATAAATTGGCACCTTTTATCCAAGCTTTTGTAATTAAATGCTCACACCGTAGAGCTTTCCCTTAATATTAATTTGACTGCTACCCTTTCCCAATGACAGTCTGCCTTTACTTTTGCTTGAATTAAAGTTTCCAAGTAAAAAGTCGGGTACTTATCAGTAACAGCTCATCTTCTAAAACCGTGCAGCGCCGAGAATGACGTCGCGGCGCAATCTCGAAGAGGTGAGCGTTCGCCTATGATCGTCTCGTTTTGTCTCGATGCTGGACACTGAATCCGCTAAGCGCTGGCCCTGCAGAAGCCAACGCCGCTGGGTGGACGCCTTTTCTATGGACGCTTGTTGGTCACTGGCCTTCCTGTGTTCGTTGAGGTTCCTTTCTGGTTTGCGCCGCTGGTGGACGAGGAATGTGAGGCCGTACCGGAGGTGATTAATTGGAAAAAAAATCACCCCGCACCCTGACACCAAATCTGTCGTGTCACCACGACAGGGGCTAATTAGTATTAATCATTGAACACTTAAAACTAATGAAGAGCGGAGCTGGAGCCGAGCGGCGCCTTAATTTGCAGACTGGAGTTGAACTTTAATTGGCTTCTCTCGATGTCCCTCTGGCCCCCATGTGCATTTCATCCCCCATGTGACTTCAAACTTATCTCTTAATATCTCTTTAATCCTTTAAATAAATAGCCCAAGCACTCCTTAAATGGCTTGGACTAAAGTTACTTTAATTTATTATGACTTTAGTTGTGACTAGGTTTGAGTTCTTAATTAAAAGCAATTGATTAAAGTTAAAGATAAAAGTTAAAGTTATTATTAAATATATATAGAGAGAACAAAATACAAAAGATGGCCAAAATAGGATCGGAAAAGCTAGTCTGAACTTATGAAGTTGAGGAAACGGAGGAAAAGCGATAATTACCGGTCAATTAGGAATTTAGTAAAACGTGGTCGCCATTAACCGAATGGGCTGAAGATAGGACAGGGTGTTGTCTGCGTTTCGGGCGTCGCTCGTCTGAGGCTTCGGGCACGGAGAGCCGGCTTCGAGGCTCGACCGTGGGTCTGATTGGGCCCTGAGGTGGCGCGCGCCGATCGGTCTTCTCAGGTTGGCTGAAGGGTCCACGCCATCAGGGAAAGGTCGGCGGGAAATTTGGAAAAGCGCGCGCGAGGCTTGCTCGGAATGAAGTTAAGTTTCCTCAATAGAAAGCTATGGCCATGTCTAACCTTAGTCGCAAAGACATTTAATATACAACAGTTATTTATTATAATTATTCGCGGGTTTGTGCCACCACAGAACTAAAGTAAAGCTAAATGTAGGAATAAGAATTAAACGTCAAATTAAGGATTAGCCAATTAGTGGAGATTTAAGGCAACTTAACTAGTCAGCAACTTAAGAGTTAAGGCAAGAGCAAGGCCAGCTTTCTTTCTCAACCCACTTAAGCTTAAACACAAACCCCGAAGCAACACAAAACTGAGTTCTCCTTGGCCAGTCTCCAGCTCTGGGAATAGCGTTAAGTTTGGGCTCGGATGGATGTTGATATTAATTCTGTGTCGTTACACGACAGGGACTTTAATTAATAACACTTCTTGAACACTTAAATCTAATTTCCCGAGACCAGAGCTGGAGGCGAGCGCCGCCGTAGAATGCAGACTGAATTTATTATACTTAAATTGATTCCCTTTTTAAGTTAATATCCATTTCTGCCCTTAATGTACTTCATCCCTTAAATCTAACCCCATGTGACTTCAGACTTATCCTTATATATCTCAGAAATCCCTTAAATTAATCAGCCAAGCACTCCTTAAATGGCTTGGACTAAAAGCAATTAACTTAAATATCACTTTAGTTTTGACTAGGAATTAAAAGTTAATATTAAATCAATGTGGTTAAAGTTTAAAATAAAGATTAAGTTTTAATTAAAATAGGAATGGATAAAATACAGTATTGGCCAAAATGAGATTTATAAAAGCTAGCTTGATTGTTCGGAAACTTGAGGAAACGATAAAACGGATACTTACCAATGAGTTTAGAAATTAACACAACGTGGTCGCTATTGACCATTACTCGGAAAAAGTGACAAAAGGTCTGATCTGCGGTTCGGGCGTCGCTCGTCTGAGGCTTCGGGGCTCTCAGGTCCCGCTTCCAGGCTCAACTTTGGGTTTGATTGGGCCAAAGGGATGCGCGCGGCGTGGGAAGAAACGCGAGGGCCTGTTTTGGCCACAGCGCGCCGCTTGGTCATCTCAGGTACGGCGTCAGGACGATGCTCGGCGGGAATTTGGAAAAACGCGCACGTGTAGGATTCGGATTGAATTTAAAGTTTCCTCATCAAAAGCTAAATTGGCCTTATTTGAATTACTCGCAGAAATACATATATATACAATTCATTTATTCCTGATGTCGACATATAATTCGCGGTCGTTCTGGATGTCACCACATCCGTCACAGAGAAGGACCCTGGGTGCCAACATCAAAGCTTTTGCACAAATGTAAGGGCTATAATTTAAAACATAATCATGTTTATATGAATTTTACATTGTATATTTCTTAGATCCATTTTGTTTGCCGTGGCAACAAGTTGACAAAGGCGCCATCAGATTTGTCCTGAGTGGTGCCAACATCATGTGTCCTGGTTTGACTTCTCCGGGAGCGAAAATGACCTCTGCTGATAAAGGAACTGTGGTCGTATCCTTTCAAATTTATTGCAATTTGAAGCTTTAATTATCAAAATTAATAAGTGTGCGATGCAATTATTTAAGATTCCAATTTTCCTTAAGTATCAAATCTAGGCAATTATGGCTGAAGGAAAGCAACACGCACTTGCAGTCGGAATAACGTCTCTCTCCACACAAGAAATGTATGATTTAAAATTCGGCTACTTAAAGATTTTGTATTAATTTTATTACTTTGTTCTTTTCAGAGCTAGCGTCAACAAAGGGATTGGCGCAGAAAATTATCACTACCTTAATGATGGGCTGTGGCAGATGAAACCGGTGAAGTAACTTCGTATTTTTATTACTGTCTAAATAAATCTGGATTAACTCAAATTTTCAGTTTTTAAATTCCCTTAACATATAAAGGAAAAGCAAGAAAAAATGCAAGATCCTTTTATTCGGTGTGTAAAATTAATTCACTTTTAGTTAATTAAGAATTAAGTTTTTGACACGGAGAGCCAAAATTAATAATTGCTCTTTTCTCTCTCATTGACGAACCAACAATAACAATCAGTTTCCAAAGTTTTCAACACAACTTGAAATAAAAGCATTGAGTATTAAGTTCAGATGTCGCACATACAACAAAATGACGAGCAACAATATCTGAGTTTATGTCCGAGGGATGCATAGCAAAATGCGAGTAATACTGGCACAATTATCATAATTCTTATTCGACAAACTGTCTTTTACATTTATTACACATTTATAAATAGATATCTTAAGGTTGTCCATTCATATTTTACAAATTTGGCTTCAACAGCATTTCATTTTGATATATTAACATGTGATGGTCAGGGTTTTGGGACATACAAAAAAAAATTGGCTAAAAAATTGTTTGGTAAAAATCATGTACACTGTAGGAAAATTAAAACAAAACCATCATAACTATGTTTCGTAAATCACATTTTTAAAATTTTAAGCAGTTTTTAAGAGTTTGACTGACAAATAAGAAAAATAATACAGAGTCTTTTGTCTTTTGCATGATTTAAAAGCTGAGTCACACATCAATATTTTGCCAGGTGATCACATTCTTATCTTACTTTTACCCTTTTACAAATTCGAAAGTTCAACATTTTCGCAAAAATAATTTGCAGCCATCTCAATAGCGGGTGCAAATTCTTCCTAAAGCATTATTTTAAATCTCTCGCTTGTTTAAAGATTATTATTCATTTCATAATTGATCTTCATAAAATAATTTTGTGAAAATCATTTTAATAAAAGTTATTTTGCCATGGCCGCAAATTTTTCTCCAAATGCATTAGAACTTTTCGGGTTAACACATTTATTTTCTTTTTTTAAGAATGCATAGCCTACACAACATTTTTGGTATCGTATGGGCAACATAGAGAGACACGAAAACAATTGTAGCTCATTACGAAGGCGCCGAGTACCAAGGGGATGATTTGCCTCCGTAGGACAGGGGCGGACTGGCTGACTTGTTGGGCAAAAGGGGGCCCATGAGTGTGTTGCCGTTGTTGTGCGCCAGGTTGGCTGCTGCTGCCGCCGCGGCCGCGGCGGGATGGTAAATGTGAAAACTGGCTGCTGCAAGTTGGTGGTGGTACAGTTGCGTCTGAAATCATGGTTATTTTTGTATCCATTTTGTAAACTTAGATTTTTTTTAATTAATTGAAGAATTAATCAATGATTTTTAGAAATAACATTCAATTGTTGAAAACTATTTATTTAAAAAGAAAGGAATTGGTGGTGCTGTTTTGTCAAATAATTCCTCTTTTTGAATAAATTGAATTTAAACAATTTGACAAGACAATGTGGACAACTAAATTATAATAATGAAGCACTTTGCTTATTTTTCATAATTTTCAATAGTACAAATTTTAATAAATTACCTGGTGTCGTGCTTCCATATAATGTTCCAAACTTGGAGTGACTGTGTGAGCCATATTTGCCTGGGGTTTCAACGGCAAATTCTGAAAATAGTTGAATTATATTTCCAAGCAAAAAAATTGTATTTTTCTAATTTTTACCTGAGCTTGGCTCAAATATTGCTGCGTCCTGATCACAGTTGCCCTAGCCTCGGCGGTCAACGACCCTCCGGCACCGTCCCTTTGTGACACAGACGAGGGCGGTGTGATGGCGGATTGGTGAAAATCTGCACCTGCACCAAAACCTAAAATTTCCCAAATTAGAAGAGAATCAATTTTTTAAATCAATAATTTTTACCTCCCGTCGCGTAGGACGAGCCGTTGAAAGAGGATGCGTCGTATTCCGAGGGTGGTGTGGCTAGGGTGGAGTCTGTGTAGAATCCTCCTGGGGTTTGTTGACCCCTCTGTGGTTGCATGTTTGACCTGATGACTGATTCTCTACTGGCATACAACTGGCGCAGTAGGGCTGTCGCAGGCAAAACTGACCCTCCGGAATTGCTGCTACCTGCGGCAGCTACACGAAAATTAAATACAAATGAAATAAACTTTTTAATTCATTGGGGGAAAATTATCATACAAGGGTAATGCAGGCTGGGTGGCCGTTGCTTCAGGAGGGCGTCAGTACTGAAATCCGTGTTGACCAAAGTTGGCTGGCCCTCGGGAAGTAGTTTTGTCATCGCGTGCTCGAGCTGCTTGACTGGTGCTGCTCCGTCGAAACCGGCCACACTTGTACCTTGACTTCCATCTGTAACTGATGAAAAAGTTTTTAATAAAATTTTGATTCATTTGACAGACATTAATTTTTTTCAATTTGAAATTAAATTATCACATTTTTTCTTTGTAAAAATTTCTGTTTTTACATAATAAAAACTTATGTACCAGTATCGAGCTTGGACCAAACAGGTGGCTGCTGCTGACTCGGCTGTGATTGTCGACTCCTGCCTCTTCCTCTCTTGGACGGTCTACCCCTTTTGCTAGGTGTGGGACCATCAGGAATAACCTCTTCAACATCCTCCTCAAAATCAGATCCGCAATCATCCTCACTCTGAATTAAAATTTTTAAATTAATAATTTTAGCATTAATTTTTATTTTATCCTTACCTCTTCTTCGGAAGAACTTGCTTCGACTCCATTGTGCCTCCCGTTTATTGCAGTCCTCTTTGGTCTACCACGTGGTTTTCCACCACCTCTGTGAGATCTAGAGCTCTGTAAATAGATATTTTTAGTAAAGATCTATTAACTTTTGCTTTTGAACCTACCAGATTGCCCCTATCAGTTGCCCCACCGTCTCCCCTGGACCCTTGATCGGGCCCATTGATTCCTCGGTCCTCTGTTGACTGCCGAATGGAGCCCTCAGGGTGGCCGCTTCTATGGCTTGCTTCTCGAGATCTGCCATCGGACGGGTCCGCGTCTGGAGATCCATTTTCAGGGTCCTGGTTGTTGCCCATCTCCCTTTTCACACTCGCGCCCCTGCTCTCCTCCAACTGGCAGCAGTCCATCACAACGTGGCTCAGTTCGCGTCCACTGCACACATTCTTAATTTTATATCCGTTCAGATTTTTCGAATTTTTTTATTTCTTACCTGATAACGTAATTTACGCAAATAATGTTTTGCTCGTCGTTATTCTTGCTGTTGCAAACGACCGTGGCGCACGTTTGGAGCCAAGTGTAGCCACCAGACTTGTTCATTAGCCTGAAGTACTGGCTCATTGCCTGACCTTTGTTGATTACTGCAACATTTTATTGCACATTTTTCTCGAGACTTCTCACTCCAGTAATGTAATAAGTAAATAAAGAACCAAGTGTCGGGGTAAATTCGGCACTTCCTCGAGCGGCCACCGATGGTGCTTGCTGCACCATTCGTGGCCGAGGCTGGGAGAGAGATAGGGTGCTTGATGACACGCGAGGAACAACGATACATGAGTCGTTTATGTGAAGCCGAGTGGTATAGTTGCGTTTTGTAATATGTGACTTGAAAAAGGCTAATTAATAACAACCAACATTTTAAAGTAAGTAATTATCGTTTCAATCAATCCTAGCCACCCCATACCAACGATGACCGATCATTTCCCGACACCAGAAAATAATAGGAAGCTCAAATTTAAATTTTTTATCTTCATTTATTTTAATCTTTATAGTGTCGGGGTAAACTCGGCACTTCCTCGAGCGGCCACTGATGGTGCTTGCTGCACCATTCGTGGCCGCAGCTGAGAGACAGACAGGGCATCAGGTGACAGAGCAGCAACATTGATAGTTGAGTCTTTTATGTGAAGCCAAGTGGCACAGTTGCGTTTTGTAATATGTGCAAAGAAAAAGGCCAAATAATTACATCAAACCTTTGAAAGTAAGTAAAAATTGTGTCTATTAATTCTATATATACCCCAACCAAAATGATTATGAATTAAATAAGCAATCTTAGCATCCGGGACCGAATTATTTCCCGACAAATGGCGCCCAACATACACCCCCGCGACCCTAAAATTTTTCTCGCCCGATCCCCGCAAATGGGCCCCGCGTGCATTTCCCTCTAATTTTTAGTTCAGTTCATGAATGACCCGTGCGGCATCCTCTCAGTCTTCGAACGACTCGATCGTTGCCAGGCCATAATAGATTTGATGCTCGGTCGTCCCACCGCAGAAAATCGAGCCAATCGAGCAGTTGCCTAAAATACCCCGCCTTCAGGAGCTATCACTCGCGCGCGTTCCAAAATAATCAACGCGTTTCGCGAATTGCCTTTTGCAGACATAGCAGACGACGCCGACCAAGCGTCCAATATGGCGACCAGTAATCCGACCTCTCTGCCCACCACCTTCACCGGCGCGCCAAATGCCGCTGAAGACGCTCGAGCCCACATTGTCATGTTTAAAAAACACAAAGCCATTTACAACTGGGATAATGCCAAAGCCCTGCAGTTTCAAATCACACTCCGCGGCGACGCATCCTTGTGGGCTGATGCCTACCTCGACAACCCCAGCAATGCAGCCAAAACTCTCGATTTTGTTTGGTGTGCCTATTCCTAAGGAGGTTACCACGCCCTGGGAGTGAAGGCGTTGAAAACTGTGCGTTAAGTTGTTTGTAAAAGGACGTCGACTTGGACCAGATGGCGAACCTACTGCGACTTGAAAGACAACGCAGACACTCATTTGCAGATACAGGTCACCGCACCCCGCAAATGACCCAATCATTTGACAGGTGTTCTCAGGACTGGATTCTGCAGACAGTGAGGTCACTGCAACTTGAAGTTGCTGTCTTGAAGGCTGGCGTATAACGATTAAAAAAGTTAACTTTAATCCGTTATTTATTTTAACCTCGGCTTCTTATCTCAAGGTGCAGGTAGACCTTTTTTTAAACTTGTGAGAGGGTTGAAAGCACACAAAATAAAATGCAGATAATTTAATTTTAGGAAAAACTCAAATTGAAACTTATTATTTTTTGATTAGAATTTAATGA